TATATGATGGCTGACCAAAGATTTATTATCTAGAAATTGTCCATGCTTCGAAATGCACATTAAGCCGTTGGTCCTGGCTGTATCTTTATTCGTATATACCCATAAATACGCATCAGGCCCGCATGGTGGGTCATGGCCCATCCTCCCTATTCGATTGGATTCGAATCCATCTACAGGGAAGGCCTGAGCCCCAGCAGTGGGGACATTAATAGGCAGCTGATGATGATGATATACCTAATATACTTACAGAGAATAATAATAAAACTTACTGTTAACTAAAATATCAATTCTATTTATTACCGTCTAGAACAGAAAAGATGGTTCATCAACCTCAAACAGTTTGAAACGGAACTGCGTATTTGTCATTAAACTTTTACGAGATAAGTTTCAATCCAATGTTTCACAAAGGGGTGAACTAACTTTCTTGTTACATATCTGCTTTCTTTCATCAGACCCAATCTCTGAGCGGAAACACACCTAAACTTGTTCTTAAGTTTAACTTATGAAAGTGCGACCTCAAAAATAAGGAACTATTTTGTCTTCGAACAACTGACGCTGATCCGCTATTTGACATTAGTGGATGGTAATAAAGTCGACTTAAGATTTTAGTCTAGTGAGCGCAAATCATCACAAACGAAAGCTAAAAACATACGGAATGACCACATAAATAGAGTTGGATTTTGAACACAGAATGATTAAAAATTATATATTGAAATTCCCGGTTATGCCGAGATAGATTATAAGAATTCCATGTATTTATACAATGAATTATATCAATTTGAATTAAAAAATTAAAAACAATAAACATTTTATTACACTTTTAGCGATAATACCACTTTTGCCCACTCTAGAATTAAGAAACTTTTCATTTGTGTTGTGTTGTTCTTTATTGCTCAAATAAAAGATATATCTATATACATATATAACGTACGTTTTTGCAGGTTTATGTGCCTACTAATAAATTTTAAAGCACTTATCCTTAAACGATTAAACTGAAATTAACCATACTAGTTTAGTTTAGATGACAATGAATGGATTGCTCATTAGGTTTCATTTTTAATTAAATGTAATATGGCGGACGGCCCAAGATGGCAACATAGTTACTTTTTGTACATTATCATGCTATAGATGTCAAGATTATAATATAATTATATCGTAGATCACCTAATATTACGGACTAGTTAATGCACGTTTTATCATGGGTATTAAATGAAAGCGATCGTTGAGAAAATTGAGATAAAATAACGAAATGTATATAAAAAAAATAATAAGAAAAGTGTCTATTAAATTGTAAAAATTAATTTAAAGCAATTCGAACTCATAGATTGATCAAAGATATAAATTTCTGAAAATAAATAAACTTATCCATTTTAAACTCAAAATTCGATTCTTCTTTTGAATGTATTTTTTGTTCGTGACAAAACCCAAAAAATATCTCTGCGGGACACTTGGTGTGTTTAAGGGTTACCGTGAATCCAATATCTCACCAGTTAGACATGGGTTCTGGTTGACGACGGTCCGCTTACTTACCTGAAAAGAAACAAATTAGGTTAACGCGTCGGTTTTAATAACATTCAAGACCATGTTACGCGAACAGAAGAATGCTTTTTAATCCAAAACACTGTCCCTTTTAATTAAAGATGGGGATGTGTTTATAATTAAATAATTAAGAGTATTCTTATGTTTTAGGTTATTAATTATCTATGATTAAATATTATGTAAGGAGCTCAAGCAGAAGCGCGTTTGATCTGCGATGTGGAAATAAGCAACTTTTGCAATGATCTGTCATAGGATCGGCGATTAACAATTTACTATCTTGAAACACGAAGGACTTTGCTTTGGAAGGCATGCTAAGCCATTGATCCTGGTTGCATCTGTAATCGTTAACACCCAGCAATCCTCATTGGGCCATGAGATGGGACATTGGGTCGATTCCAACCATAGGAAAGGCCTGTGTCTCAGCAGTGGAGACCTCAGTAGATTAGTGATAATACTGAAATATGAAGATCAAAAACTTCACAAATCTCCTTTCATAGAAAGGAGATAATTAAAAAGTATAAATATCAAATGATGACGCTACTATCTTTATTTTTATGACGCTAATCTTAAATAAAAATACTTGATCAAATATAATATTAAATTAAGTTTCTTTTTTAATAGAAAATTTTCATTTTTTCTTCTTCACATGTTTTACACTTTTTAACGTAATGAATAAGTAATCCTTTGATTTGCTTGAAATTTAATTATTTTATCGTCGTCGTCAGTATTTTTTTTCATATAATAAGTTGTTTTTAAATGTATAAATTACAAAATATTCTTATTTTATTGCGCGAAAATTATATATGCTATATAACTAGTTACCCGGCAAACGCTGTTTCGCCATATAAATTTGGGGTGGAGCACCCGTAGGGGTCTAACAATACTATCTATTCATCATAATTGGTCAAGACGTGTCGTAGGAGTATGGTGAATAAAAAATTGTGACATGAGAATTATATATATTAGATTGTTTTATAAAAATACTTTCAAACCTGATTTGCAAGTATAAGATTTTATAATAGATACATGAAATTCGTATATAAATAAATAAATATTAGAGAACATTATATAAATTGCTCAGATTTATGTAAAGCTCTTGTATTTGTAAATATGAAACAACGAAAGTAACACAACACCCCGAGCCGAGGTGATAAAGGCCGTTTTCTACATTGACCCGACCAGAAATCGAATCTGATACCTCAGTGACGGTGACACCTTGAAACCGGCGGACGAGCCACTCAGCTACAAAAGTCATCATTGTGTATCGAGCTGTGTTTTTTTTATTAAAATCAAATATATCAAAAGTTCAAAACTAAACTTTACTGTAACAACACATATTGATAGAGGCAAAAAGAAGTTTATCGTCTGTATTTGGTCGTAGTTTCTAATGTTACCGCTTGCAAAACACAAACGAAACCAAACCTTTGTTATATAAAAATAGAGTTAAATCTCGCGTGTTTTAAACAGTATAATCCCAACTGAGTCGACAAAAATTATTATAATACAAGAACGGCATTTATTATACAGATTGAGCGAGAATCCAGCGAGTTTGAGTCACGTCTTGAATGTAATGACGTCACGCGTACACTCCTGCAGAACCCAAAGGACGAGTAATATGCAAGAATAATAATGTGCTTAGACAAAGAGAACCTCTATAGTCCCTGAAATGGGTTAAGATGACTTACGAAAGGAATGGAATATCAAATTCGTGTGACGCATCCGATCTCTAGCGTGTAACACTTAAGTCATTGTGCTAAAATGGCGAAGACTTTTATTTTTCAAAGAAGTTCTGTATATATAGATACAAATTTTATAAATGTGTATTCTGTAATGAGAACTCCAAAAATAAGCAGTCAGAATTTTAAAACAAAGTACATCCTTATGAGCATTGATTTAATATGATTAAAAATACATATAATTACTGTCATAAGTAGCTATAGCTTTAAAAACTACTAAATGATTATCTTATACCTATATACAGTTTATCGGTATTCATTACTTTAGCTTAACTAGTTAATTTCGGCCTTTGGGCCTAACGAAATATTTACCAATCTAAGTTATTGCGCGTACGGAAGCCACCATTAATTAAAAGATTATCATCCGAAACTGATTGACCTCCTCTGACTTACAATGTTCAGGTGCCGCTAGCTCCAAAAATATTGATATCTAGAAAGTAAACAATTCAGCATAATTGAATCGACATAGATAATGGCGATAAAGGGTGAGTTGAGAAATTGAAAGCACCTGGAAGAGGCCACGTGTTAACTGTGCGAAAGAGACGACGATTATCGCCGCCCCGTTCCCACTAATGGCGTATGAACTGTGCTTACAGGTGAGCAGAGAGAAGCATATGCTGTGTAGTATAGTAGATATATATGGTGTGTAGCTCGTTATTTTGTTTCCGATCGAGACTGCGTCATAAAATAGGTTTCTTGTTACAAGTTTCGTTTTCGATACGGCATTGTGGGTGACGGTTGATAACGAATTCAATCACGGAAAATGGTTGACGCACTTTCTAAGCGCCCGGGGTGACTTCCATAAAACGATTTTCGTCTATTTACATAGATAAATGTTGACAAAAGGGTAGATATCTACGTTTGTTATTATATCACGGCGAATAATAATATATTTGTTTTACATTCATATATGAACTACCTCGTATACGTGGCTCCAATCTGGTGATGTTTTGATAAAGAGTTGTCTTTGATCAAAATACATGATGCATTTGTATTTTCCTTTTATTAAATTATTGTTTGTTTTCTTTGTGTAATTTTCAAACAAATTTACAATTTATTATATATAGCGTTTTATTTTTATACTTTTAATGATTATAAAATTTATCCATTACTCTTCTTCGAAGTATTTTTACTTATAATGCTTAAAATCATAGATTTATTATTTCGTCTGAGCTTAAAAAACTACAATCTATTCCTAGGTAGTAATATATAAAACTATGGTCTATGATATAAATTTCTCATCGTCAATTATCGAGGAAGAGAATTATCTCAATATACTCTACGATAAGCACTTTTGGTTATAATTATTTGGTTTTTCCATACAATAATAACTAAAGCTATAGTTAATATTCTAGGGTTTTTGGACTTTTTACTTAAGTATATATTTACTTTACTCTTTGCTATTGACATTGAGCTACCATTTTGAGCATTGTTGCTCCAAGATATTTAATTTATGAAAATTCGAAAGTCTTTCTACATTTTTTAAATTCCCACAAAATATTCACAATGATATTTGATTTTCAAACAACATTTTTGGTAGTAGTAAATTTTGTGCAAATGGTATCGATATTACTTATGATATTACCCATAGTAGATATCGTGGAACTTTCCAAATATATACAAAGTATAACAGCAAATATTAAAACTAACCCAGTAACCATCTGCTTGATAATATTATACATAATTTGCGTGTTTTCTTATGGAATCATAGAGCCAACCAAAGTGATGAGGAGTTCCGAAGTAACAAAGGGATCGAGGCGAATAGAAAATCCCACAGAAAGATTAAAGCACATTATTGATTTAACTAATGCATGTAGAAATTATCTTCTCGGTGGTTTTTCGATGTTCTTCCTACTAGTAATGTTGAGGTTGTTTGATTTTGTTAATTTTTCTGCTAAATTACATGAATTTTCAGATTTGATGGGAAATTATGATTTGATTGACATTACTTTGACTAATACTGTGGAAAAAGAACCTGATCCAACATTTGTAATCGATGAAGACTTTGACGAAGTAGATGACCATTCTGTGCGTTGGCCAAGTTTTATCGATTTCAATAAAACAGAGCATAGAAAAATCAAAAATTTTTTCAAAGCTACTCTTAGGAAACCTTTTGAGGCTAAAATTAGAAGGAAGTCTAGTACTGAAGAAAATCGTATACAAAAAACTTATAGAGCTACTCAAAGTTCAGACTCTGATAATAACATAAATACAGAAGATAACCAGAGTGACACCGCTAAAAACATTCCAGAGCAAGGAAAATCTGTGTCAAAATATAAAAATGATTAATATATTCAGTGCTATTGTGGGATCTATACTGTTTTTAGAATTGGTTATTATAGTGGCGCTTCTGAAACCTGTCAAAGAACCATATTACATAAGAAATGTATGGTGCCAGTTCCAAGAAACATCATTTGACACTTCTAAAGTGTTAGGCGTTGTTGCAATGTGCCTTTTCTTTAACAGTTTCATGGATATGTCTTGGGAAACTAGCCATCATAAGAATCTTTTGCTTGAAGTAAAGGATACCAATCTTGTCCTTGAGTTCTATTTGAGCAAAATGTCAATGTGCTATCTCTGTTTTTTCATGGTATTATTCTGTTACATCATCATTGAAAGAATTGTACAATCCTTAAGTATGATTGCTAGATTATTAGAATTTGAATTGATGTGCAGGCATGCCATATTAACTAGAGACAATGTTTCGCAAATTTATTGTACAATATTGATGTTAAACAGTTTGTATGAAACATTACGTGCTAATGATAGACGCGGTATTTCGTCACAATAAAATATATAAGTCAAAAAATTATCAGATAAAATTGTGTTTTATTTTATCATTACTTAAATGGTTAAACATTGTAATGTAAATGAAAATAAATAACATTCACATTAATTCTTTAATTGTAATACAAATAATAATGTTCTCAAAGCTACGTTATCTTTAACTGTTGTTTCAGATCTCATATATTAGAGAGAAATACAGATATTATTATTAATTACTATACAGGATCATGACTCACTTAAAAAAAGACGTTCTGTATTATACAATAATAAATTCTTTATTTCACAAAGGTACAATGAGCTCCCTGACGTCTGAGGTAGGTATATAAAACCTGGGCTTTACACACCAGTTTCCTTTACCATCTTATGATAACATAGCAATCCACGGAATAAACTATGTACCATTACAAGAACAAAACATGGAAACAAAAACAATGGCGCTCAATAAGTGTGATAGTGTTGTATATAAATGTTTGTGTATGTGTAAGTGTGTGCGTTACTAAAAAAAGTATATATATATTCTGCTTTATGATTTTAAATATATAGTTCACTCTTAATGTATGTTGTTCTTTAGTAAAGGTGGATACCTTTACTAAAGAACAACTCTAGGAAGTGAACAACTCACACTATAAGACACAAAAAATAATAACGAGGAACTACTATATGATTAAGAATCGCCCTATTCGATTCCATCGATGGCCTCAAAGTACATTATATGGAAGACATGCGATCTATGATCCAGCTTGTACAAAGTAGTTAACAGAACAGATACAAAGAGGTTATGTGATAGTGTCTATGATAATTGCGTTCCAGTTTTATTAATCGCCTATTTTTAGCTGTCCGTATTTTTTTTGATATCCTAGTTTATCGTAAATTAGTTTCATTTTATTTTAACCACAATATTCAGTTTTTAAATCTTGATTATTGGACTAGTATTGAAATAAATCGTATGATCTCACTAATATGTGTCGATATTGATTTTTATTCAAATATTATAGTGATAGTGAAACTATAATATTAGAATAAAAACTAATATCGACACATATTAGTGAAATCATACGATTTATTTCAATACTAGTCCAAAAATCAAGATTTAAAAAAAAAATGGTTGTTGTACTTCACTCGACGTAGATAGGTATAGTGTATCGCGGACTTTTTTGTAGATGTTTATAAGATTTACAATTAATTAGAACATTTTATGGTTCTATCTTTTATAGTTTAGGCAGCGTACGCGAAATAAGTAACTATTCTGGTTTATTTTTACACTTTGTGTACGAAAAACCCAAATATCTTACGGAACCCAAATATAGCCTATGATGTCACTCGTGGATAATGTAGCTTTCAAATGGGGAAAGAATTTTTTAAATCGATCCAGTATTTTTTGAGCCTATTCATTATAAACAAACAAACATACATACAAAGTTTTCCTCTTTATAATAAATATTAGTGTAGATAAAATAATGCACCTATCAATAAAAAGTGTTTTCAAAACATATGTTTTTTATTAACAATAGTTAATAATGTATGATAAATTAAATCGGGTTTCAAAGATAAGAGTTAGTAGTCAAAATAACATACAATGCATAGTCTTATGAAAGCATAATAGATAAAAAAAACTAAAAGAACAACTAGGTTTTCGCCAGTGGCTTCGCCCGCATTGTTTCTATATTATAAATTATAATAAATCAAATCAAAATCAATTGTATTGTTTCAAAAATGTCAATGTACAGACAGCAGGAAATTAGTTAGTTATGTACTGATAATAATAGTATACTAACTCTATGGTTGAAAATAACCAAAGAGTAAATCTACAAGGAGCAAGTAACCAAACAAAATGATACAATAAAAAACTTTTAAATTTCACAAAACGAACACATGTCATCGCATTGTCAGAAAATTGTGAGTTGACCGTCCGAAATGTAGAAACTATACCAAAATACTGATCCGTATTAAATAACAATCGGGAAAATGCCATAAAGATTATAGATTTCACCACCGGACTCACCAGAACCAGGAAAATGGATGGAAGCTGCGTATTTCTGTCGTTCATGCTCCTTCTGCAGATGCTTATCATTCTTGTAATGCTCAACCCTATATATGACGTCAGAGAAGTACTCAAATACATCAGCAAAGGAACAGGTTACCGTAAGATTTATTACCCCACCATCATAACGTATTTGCTGTCCGTCATTTACTTTGGCATGTACATCCCGTTGCAGAACATTCACACCTTGATCTTCTCAAACGAGTTAAATGAGTACAATAAGCTTATGTTACTAAATAGAATCGAGAAGAACTATATAATAGCTGGCTTTTCACTTTTCTTGGTCGTGGTGATATACGGTGTTCGAGGGTTACTATCTTACGCAGCGAGTCTGTTAGAACTAAGTGATCAGCAAAGCGATTCCCTAATGAAACATTCAGATACTAAACTAGAAAAGAAACTTTTTGGACTGTCAGAGAATATACTGCCTAATCTGCTACGTGTGAAGAGGTCGATATCTTATGAAACTATTTTGTTTACAAATGAACTGCGGGAAAAGCTGAAGGCTGTCATCCGTAATGTAGATTTCCCTAATAATAAGTGCACGCTTTCGAGTATTTTGGAGACTAATGCAGTACATATTTAACTGTCTTTGTAACTAATGAACCAATAAAATAATACATTACCTTTTTTCGCTACCAAGTAGTTTATATTTCTCTTGCTAAACCACAAAAAGATAGAGACAGGCAAATTGAAAACATAGTTGAAAATATTTATGCTATAAAACCTACTTATTCTTTTATTTAAGTTCCTATGCCTTTAACAATTTGAATTGTTAAGTTCAACTACTTAAAATTTATTCTTATACACTGGTAATTTAATAATTTTAGTCTTACTAAATTATTTTAAGTGAAACGCTAAGTAGGACCTTATGGGAAAAATTGGGATCGAAAATTCACATATACATATATATAGAACGTTATTAGTTAGAATGTTGAAAATTGACAATATTCTTTCGCTTTAAAATAACTATAATAATATGAAAAAATACCCTTTGGGAGCTTTTAATAAATTTTCGAAATAAAGAATTTATACACAATGATATTCTCATACTATCATCTGCCTATGGATTGAATCAAATCAGATCGAATAGGGAGGTTGGACCATGACTCACTATGCAAGGTCAGTGAGAATTGGTGGGTGTTACCAAATACAGATGCAGCCGAGACCAACAGCTTAATGTACCTTCAGAAGTACGAAAGAGCTCAAGATGATACTTTTTGACCACAAATACTGTAATCGGCAATTGCAAAAGACGCTTAACTTCCGCATCGCACACCGAACGCGACAACTACTGTGCCCATTGAGCTTCATATGAGAATACCTAATTTATCTTGTCTTTTTTGCTTAAATAAGTACCTTCATTTTTTAGATAGTCAAACTAGTGACTTAAACTTATTCGTATCAAACAGACTTCAAAACAGATAGAGATTTTCAGATCAATATTATAAATTCTAGTTATTCGCAGTTTTCAAAATGAAACCGCTAAAAGCATGTCGATTATGTCCCTGAAAACAACAAAAGATAGTTTCGCAGGGGAAACATTGCCAAGTATTTGCGTATTCCAGAGAATTACGAAGGGGCGAGGCGACGGGAAATATTCCAAAAGACAGAACCGTAAAAATAAAACGCCCCCGCAAAAGCAAAGGGAAGAAATATTCCAAATGGGAATATGTGAAGTCTAAGCGTGTATTCGTTAGCGTTAATGTTTTTTTTTGTATATGCATTCTTTGTTATAGTAATGTTAATGTATATTTATTTAATTTAATGTACTCTCTCTTAACATAAAACGAAGTCTTGGAATAAAATGAAAAAAATTGTCCAAGTGCGAGTCGTACTCCCACATGTAGAGTTCCGTACAGAAAACGACGAAAAAAAATTAAGTTTGTTCTACGGGGCCCCCTAAAATATTCATTTGATGTTAGGTTTTAGTATTTGTTATTGAAGCGGCAACAGAAATAAGTCTAACTTTCATGGTTCATGAAATACAGCCTGGTAACAGATAGACAGACAGACGGCGAAGTCTTAGTAATAAGGTTTTCGTTTTACCCTTTCCGTACGGAAACCTTAAAAACCCTTAATTTTCACTCATATATTTATCTGTAACAATCTTTTACGCCGAAAGTATAGTATCGATTGAGTTGAAGTAAAGTATATTCCTTATTGAATCACAGTTATTTGTGTAAATAAAATAAATGTTAAAATCATATGGGTATCTTAGAAGGGGATATTATATATTTTTTTAAGTATTGCACACCATATGATATAATATTATAATATTTTTATTTATTATTTAGATACTTGAAATAAAACTTTGAGAAAAACATGTATTTAACTTTCTAATGCCGGAGATGTTGCTATTTGTGGGGTAACTGCCACCCCGTCAGTTAAAAATGCTCCCTCAGTCTTAAAACTGTCACTGTGTGAAAAACATGTATTTGTCGCATTTGAAAATTAAAATTTGCGCGTTTAAAATATCTAGGAATTCCATACAAATAATGGAATTAATTAAAAATATTACGTACCAGCGGTAGATAAACTTCAAATGTCGATTTAGATGAATTAATAAATAAAATAATAAATTATAATTTTGTCTTATGCTATGACGCCTTGGTTTACGGGGTTCCCAATTCTAGAATTTAAATCAACCATAAGAGAATAAGTTAATGTTAAATTAAGTTTAATCACGATTCAGAAGATAGATACTAATATTATAAAAAATATTTATACTTTTACTTTAATTTATTAATCTTTTTCTATTTTATTGTGTATATAAGTTATTGCATATATAATTTAATTCTCAAAAAAAAATATGATCAGTTTACTTAAAGGAAGCTAGTGCAAAGTTATTTTGATTTTTTCTTTCCTTTTTACAATTTTCCTAAATTGTATGGGGTATTCAATGCCTGAAGAATACGAAAACACCTAAATGACGTAGTTAACATGCTAATCAACAGATATATGAATTACACATACAAATCAAATACCAACTGTTGGAAAAATTGTCGTCACTAATATGATATTAGGCAATATCACACTTATTCTTAGTCACACTTAAACTTTAAAAAACTGCAATGTTAACAAAAACGTTCGGTTTGTTAAATACTGATCAACGTCATTATTATTTTTTTACAACTATAAAACAAATTACTTTGGTAGTGACATATGTGACAAATTCTATGTATATCTTCTATGTTTGGTATCATTCTAAAATATTTTTACTTCTTAGTAGCTGGCATAGTCAGTCAGTAAACGTCCTTAACGGGTGGTATTGTAGGTATATACAATTAATTATATATTTTCATTAATTTATTAGTTTAATGAAATTATCTTAATATTGATAACACCATACACGCATAAAATTGAATTTGTTGTAAATAATCTGCGAATGAAACA